ATGCCTTCACAATTTGGTGAAAATGACAAAAAGAAAACCATCGATATTTGATTTTAAAAAAATCTGAAATTCACCAGTGTGAAATAAAGCGAACATTTTATATACACCATAAAACAGAAAAAGAGGATTATACATGAAATAAGTTCTAATATGCATAGTTTGTCTTTTTTTTTTTTGAGTAATGCAAAAATTCAACATGGCATTTCCAAATCTGTTCTCATTCCTCTTGGCCTTCCTTCTGTTCTATTGCATATTACAATCATTATTATTATGTCATTATATATTATTACAATTCATCAGTTTCCTTCTTAATTATTTTGGGGTTTGGAGGGTGAGGGGAAGGAGATCCTATTCCTATCCACCTTCCACTGCTATCCTCTCCTACCCCAAATTCAAAAAAAATCAACAAACAAAATATTTGTGGTGACTGGAAAATAAGATATGCAGGCAATGGGATATAGAAATCTATCCTGCCTTACAGAAAAACAGAAGAGGAAGGGGATAAGAGAAGGGGGTGGGGAGATAGAAGGGAGGGCAGATTAGGGGAAAGGGTATTCAGAATGCAGGCTGTTTTGGGGTTGGGGGAGGGATGAGACGGGGAGAAAATTTGGAACTCAAAATCTTGTGGAAGTGAATGTTGAAAACTAAAAATAAATAAATTAGTGAATCTTTTAAAAATGTAAAAATAAATAAAAATTAAAAAACTGCAAAATATTTGTAATGAAAGCACAGTTAAGGAATAGAAATTGCCACACTGTCCATTTCCAAAATGTATTTTTTTGTTCTACATCTTGTTTCCATCACTTCCCAGTTAGTAGGTAGGTTGCAGTAATCCTGATAAGTTCCTGATATAGTGGTTGATTATTACAATAAAAAGTATAACATCTTGCCAAGTTGTTGGCCTTCATAATGTTGTTATTGTTATCAATTACTCCTTGTAGTCTGCATTAGTCTATATTACTCTTCCTGGTTTTCACTGAAATTGCCTGTTTTGTGGCATATTATTACTGTATAACATTCACATACCAAAATTTGTTCACCTGTTGCCTTATTGTAGGACATTATATCTTACTTTCCAGCTCTTTGGGAAAGAGGAACTTTCTTCCCCCAAAAGAAGCTGGTACCAATATTTTTGTACAGTTGGGTCCTTCTCCTTTAAGGGAATATGCCCTCTAGTGGTATTATTGGGTCAAAGAATTTACCCAATTTCTAAATTAGTGGGGACCTCACCGCTTCACCAACAGTAAATTAATGTGTCTATTTTCCCACAGCCCTTCTACACTTATTTTTTTTCTCATTTTTGTCAAATGCGTGGGAGTGTGGTAGAGACTCAGAGTTGATTTAATTTGCATTAGTCTAATTATTGATTTGGGTCATTTTTGCTCAAACTTTTAAAAAATGATATTTAATGATATGTTTCTCCCCTGCTGATCTGCCCTCTGTCAGATGAAAAAGGAAGAAAAAACAATTGTGTAACAAATACACAACTGAAGAAAAAAATTTCCTATAATATTTGTAATGCTTATTTTCTTATCACCTTTACCAATCTGAAAATCTAATTATTAGTGATTTGGATTAGTGATTATAGATGTAGAGTATTTTTTCCCATATAGTGGTAGAGAATTTGCATTTCTTTCCTTTAAAATTGCTTGTTCATAGTTTTTGACCAGTCTGTTGTGTCCACTCTTTATATACTCACCACATTTTTTGGGGAGAAGCCAGCCAGGTCTAGTTAGATCTTAAACCCCAGGGCTGACAGCTTTCCAGAAAACCTCCCTTTTCACTAAGGGACTTTTTCATGAAAGATTGCCTCCACAGGTGTTAGACTCCTGTTCTCAATTCCTATTTCTTCTGAGCTAGGGTAAGATTTAGTTTGAGATTGTTTGCCCCAGGGATTGGGGTGGTTTAAGTTTGGATTAAATTTGCCCCAGGGATTGGGATGGTTTAGGATTAGGATTAAGTTTTAGGTTTCTTTTTAAATTTTCTCTTAGGGATTGTGAAGGAATATGGGTTCCAGTCACGGTAAGATACCTGTGGATTCCCCCTTGAATAGGCTTTTGGTGGCATGAGACCAGGGGCTGCCCATCATAGCTAAGAGAATGACTAAGAAGCTCTCTATTGAGTTATGTGACATCTGACAGAAATCTGCAGGAAACTCAAATGGTAATTTGTTTTGGCTAAATTGGCTCCTATTATTGCAAATTGAAAAAAAATTAAGGCTAATCAGTGTGCGTTTGTCTTATTGTTTTGTCTGTGTTTTTGTTTCTTTGTAAAATGTTGGAAAATCTTTGTCTCGTGTTTCGTGTTGTTTGTTGATTCTGTTACCTTGAAAGACTTCTAGAGGGAAAATGCAGTCACCAAAAAGCTGCTGAAAAGCTGCATCCAAGGAGTTTAGTACACTGGGAAAGATTAATGAAGTTTCATACTTGAAGTCATCCCAGTAAATCGGGCTCAGACCCACTTTAGGCTTTCAATGGGAGATTAAGTTAAAAAAAATACTGCTAAAACATCCTAATAGATTTTGGAGGTTTGGAGATTAATCATTTAAGATTACAAAGGAGAACTCCTGAGACTGGGTAATTCCAAGAACTCATCCCCTTCTGAAATATCTTTGTGGGTTTTGGGGCACCACTCTGTAGAATTTAAGGAAAATCAGAATGATATTCTGTGAAAGTTTCAGGAGTAATTTCCTCCCCCCCCCCGAAGATAGCCCTATTGTCTTAATGTAGTGAAGGAAGGCTGCTGATTTGAAAGAAATGCCAGAGTGAAGAAGAAAAACAAAGTATGTGGTTTCCTCTTTATAGCTGCCTCTTGTTAATCTTTCCTTGGCCATGAAAAGAGAAAAAATTGTTTAGAGATGCCCCTTCTGACCTCCATCCCAGATCAGTAAACTCCTGAGCCCTCATCCCAACTCAGATTCCCCTCTGACTCCTACCTCAGCTCAGAAACCCCTGTGATTCTCCCAGCTCAGAGACTCTCCCCTCTCTCTGACCCTATTAACCCCTCTCATCTCAGATCAGGTTTCCAAAAGAGGGGGGTGAAAAAATGCTAGAAAAATGCAAGGAAACAAGTTACATTCTAGTTTTGAAAATCCATTAGCTTTGTGATCTTAAGCAAGTTATCTTATGTGTTTGCCTCAGTTTCCTGATCTCTAAATAGGGGAATAATGATGGTACCCACCTCTCAGGATTGCTGTAAGGATCAAATAATATGATTGTGAATTGCTTAACACAGTGACTGGCATATGGTAAGCACTATATTTCTTTAATTGATGTAATTTTTCCTATTATTTTGTTGTAAAACAGGTAACCATAATAATGAGGATGATAATAGTTTAGTACAAATAAATAAAGAAAGAAAGAATGAATAACTATTAGGGAAACATGAAGAAGTTAATAATATTCAAGCCCACAATCATGGCAGGTGAGCAACAGATGTTTTGTAAGTACAATACTAAATCTGTCAATATATTGATACTGAAACATCTCTGAATTACTATAATAGGATGCAAGTATGAAAAATTTCACAATTTTAATCTGATTTTGTGATCAAGTTATAATGTAGGAATGATATTCTTCAAAAGGAGAGAATTAAAGTATTAAGACAAAAATGTAATGTAAAAGTTTCCTAATTAAATGGTGTGGTATATTTTGAGAAAGCAACGGGATTATATTGTTTTCTTTAAGAATTATACCTATGTATATGATTGGCTTTAAAGTTTATCTAGCATGGAAATTTAGGCTTTGAGTATGTTTTAGTAATAAGTTCTCAAAATTGGATTAAGGATTTTACATATAAAATTGTATTGATAATTGTAAAGAAAGTGAAATTTCCCCCCATTTTGAAGTATCTATCTGATAACTCTAAGAGAGAAGAATTCATTTTACAGTTAGACCTTTATGAATGTTTTTTAGAATCTTATATCAGGTACAGGATTTAAGTAAAGGTAGAAACAGTAAATAGTATATTAAAAAACTGGAATTCTCTGAAGTTTAAAGATTGGAGAACCAAATTTAATAGATTGCATTAAATTGTATTGCGTCTTAGTACAGGCAGATTTTAGTAGAATTATCTAGGGATCTCTACAAGCAATTTGGAAACAGAAAAGCAGAGCCCACTTCAGTTGCCCAGATAATGAACCCTGAGAATGCCCAAAAGAAGAAATTCAGGGACCAGATGACTCCAGGAGATATCTGGGACTCAAAATGTGCTGATTAAATGGATATTGGTAGTAGGTTACTAAGATATAAGACAACTTTGTGTTAGTTGACATTGAAGATAATTATTGTATTGCTTTGGTCTTTTGTTTCATAGTGTTTATGTTTTAAGTTTTTTTGGTTACCTTGGAGATATGTGAATCTCCTCAAAAATGTCAACTGTAAACTTCTTAGTAGCTTGATATATAATATAACTTATACTCCTGATTATCAACATATGAAAAACCTTATAGAGTTGGCTTATAAATAAGTGACTCATGAATTAAATCGAAAGGGGGTAGTGATAATTGAGTGAAACACACTGACTCCATCTCATGATTCCATTCTGGAGCTAACTCGGTTCCCCTTCTGTTCAATTATGGGTTTAGTCCAATTTCTGTCCTATGAGAAAACTTCATTCAATTGTAGGAATTGTGAGAAAACTTTATTATCTTGTTTGAACTAACCCTTCATGGCTGGGAAGCTGAAGCACCCCTACCTATTGCTTAGTGACCCTTAACTAAAGACGTAGATTATGCTGACCAGAAACCTGGCTAGACACAAAAATTGATGCAAGGAGTTTTCTCACAATTATACATCTCAGGCAACCCTTATGTCATATCTGAAAACTGGCCTTATACTGATCAAACATTTTATTATTTACATGTTCCTTTGATTGTTCACAGACAATTGGGGGTGGAGGGAGTGGATTTCTGATTTCAAGGAATTTTCCCCTTCCCAACTTGAAAAGTCCCTAATCTCTCATTCAATTAGAATCAGACCACCTAATATTGTACTGTTTCCTTTTAATTAATTGGCTGTATTTGATTAATTGTTTTTAATGTATAAAAGTCTATTTCCCACATTATTTGGGGTCCAGGCCTATGGTGAAGAGATCTGGTCCTGATTTGTTAGGCAATTGGCATGCATTGCTCAATAAGTCAAAATGCTCAGAAGTTCGAACTTTTGCTTCTTCAGTAATTGCATCTTTCACACACCACACTACACTGTTTATATTCAAGAGGTTTCTCTCCAGTGTGGATTCTCTGATGTCAAGCAGGACTCTTTGTTAAGCCCTTTCCATGTTGGTCATATTAATAAAATTTCTCCTGAGTGTGGATTTGTAGGAAGACTGGATCTAATTCTGAAAGTCTTTCCACACTAACTGCATTCAAAAGGTTTCTTGCAAGTGTGGATTTTCTGATGGGCAACAAGATTGCCCTTCCATGTGACAGCCTTTCCACACTGATTTCCATCCAGTGTGGATTCTCCGATGGGCACTAAGACCAGAGCTCTTTTGCTTTGCCACACTGATTACATTCATAAGTTTTCTCCTCAGTATGGACATGCCCATGTACATCAAGACTGCAGATGATTCTGAAAGTCTTTCCACACTGATTACATTCATAAAATGTCTCTCCAATGTGGATTCTCTGATGGGCATCAAGATGGGAGCTTCTTGTGAAAGCCTTTCCACATTGATTACATTTATAAGATTTCTTGCCATTGTGGACACTCCAATGTGGATGCTCTGATGTGTAGCAAGCCTGGAGATCTTTGTGAAAACCTTTCCACATTAATTACATTCACGAGGTTTTTCTCCAGTGTGGATCCTCTGATGTTTAGCAAGACTAGAGCGAATTCTGAAAGTCTTTCCACATTGCATACATTCAAAAGGTTTCTCTCCAGTGTGGATTTTCTGATGTGCAGCAAGATTACCCCGTCGTGTAAAAGCTTTTCCACATTGGTTACACTGATAAGGTTTCTCTCCAGTGTGGATTGTCTGATGTACAGCAAGACTGGAGCTCTGTGTAAAAGCCTTTCCACACTGATTACATTCAAAAAGTTTCTCCTCACTGTGGATTCTCTGATGTGCAGCAAGACGGGATTTCCGTGTGAAAGCCTTTCCACACTGATTACATTCAAAAGGTTTTTTTCCAGTGTGCATTCTCTGATGTACGGTAAGACTAGAGCTCTTTGTGAAAGCCTTTCCACACTGATTACATTCATAAGGTTTCGCTCCAGTGTGGATTCGTTGATGGGCACTAAGATGAGAGCTCTCTGTGAAAGCCTTTCCACACTGATTACATTCATAAGGTTTCTCTCCAGTATGGATTCTCTGATGGGCACCAAGATGAGAGCTCTCTCTGAAAGCCTTTCCACACTGACTACATTCAAAAGGTTTCTCTCCAGTGTGGATTCTCCGATGTACTGTAAGACTAGAGCTCTGTGTGAAAGCCTTTCCACATTGATTACATTCAAAAAGCTTCTCCCCAGTGTGGATTCTCTGATGTAAAACAAGACGGGAGTTCCGTGTGAAAGCCTTTCCACACTGATTACATTCATAAGGTTTCTCTCCAGTGTGGATTTTCTCATGCTCAGTAAGACTGGAGCTATATCTGAAAGCTTTCCCACACTGATTACATTCATAAGGTTTCTCTCCAGTGTGCATTCTCTGATGTACACCAAGATTCGAGCTCTTTGTGAAAGCCTTTCCACATTGATTACATTCATAAGGTTTCTCTCCAGTGTGAATTCTCTGATGCAAAGCAAGATTGGCTCTCTGTGTGAAAGCCTTTCCACATTGATTACATTCATAGGTTTTCTCCCTAGTGTGGACTCTCTGACGTAAAGCTTTACCCGAAGCCTTTCCACACTGATTACATTCAAAAGGTTTCTTTCCAGCAGGGATTCTCTGATGGGCACCAAGACGGGACTTCTTTCCAAAAGTCTTTCCACACTGATCACATTCATGAGGTTTCTCTGTATTGTGGAATCTCTGATGTTTAGCAAGACTGGAGCTGTATCTGAAAGCCTTTCCACATTGATTACATTTATAGATCTTCTCCCTGGTGTGGGTTCTCTGATGTAAAGCTATATCTGAAGCTCTATCTGAAGCCTTTCCACACAGTTTACATTCATAAGGTTTCTCTCCGGTGTGGATACTCTGATGGCAAATGAGGAGTGATCTGTAGCAGAAAGCCTTCCCACATTCATCACATTTATAAAACTTCTCTTCCATTTCTTTCCAATTGAAATCACAGGGATCATCACTCATGAATGTTTGCCGGCCACATTCTTCCACAAAAATGCTCAGCTGTGTAGTCACCTCATTCACTTCAAACCTGGTCTCTGCACCTGAAGAAAACAATCGTATGTACACAGAAAGACACACACATACATAAATATGTTCTTTCCTCTAATGGAAGAAAGTAAACAGATTTATATTTTATCTCCTCAGTCAAAAAGAAAAATTTTCAAACTTAAACAGGCAGAATCAATCTTTGGAAACACCATTTGGTCACGTCTACCAGATGGTTTTTTTTTAGAAAAAGCTTTAATAAAACAAGGGATCCTCACAACAAACCTATTTCACATGCAGGCCCAGCATTCTCATTACCCTCCACAACTCAGGCCATGAGCTCGTAATGGCCGAGTGACCTGACCAACAACCTGGCAGCTGAGACTGGAACTCCCATCCTGTGACTGAGCATACCCTGTCCACGGTACTAGAAGGCCCTTCTCCACTGCACTTTCTATCTTTCCTCCTAATGCCTTTATTGATTATACTTATGATTTTGCCGGTCTCAGGTCACCTTCCTGCTATTCTGTACTGATCAGTTTGGATGCACTCTCACATGGTCATTCCTGGTAAATTTCATAGGCTAAGATGAGAAATAGGCTTATTCTTCTTAACTGTCTTGTAGTAATTTTCAGTGTTACATCCAACTTTTCTTCTTTTCTATTAGATCCAAAGGTATTATGCTATTTGCTGTACATATACTAAATATTCATATTATTTCATTATCTATTATATCTTGAAGCATCACCTCCATATCTTGCTATTTAATTTCTGAGAACAGAGACAAAGACTGGGCCATAGAGATCAGGAAGGGAATCTTGAGTTGGTGAATTGTACAAGCCTCAGCCATTTATTACTACTTATAGTAAGGCAGCAGTTTCCATTGCTACCTATAAGACGCTGCACAGAGACAAGAGAAAATCGTGAAACTGGGCTGTCTGGATCCACTACAAATTTAGGTTACATGATCTCAGCTGGGCCCTCACTGTGCTGAGGCAGTCCTTTGACATCTCTCTGTCTCCTTTTTCTACTATAAGGAGGAACTTTTCCAAATCTTTCTATTCCTCCCCAACCCCCTCATTTGGTTTACTTCCCCCAGTACTCTGACCTGAATGCTTGGCCTTGTACCTATAGTAAAAAATAATTAGACACTTACCAAGACCTTTCTTATCTCCTCCTCATCTCAAATAAATCAGATGTCTTCTTTTTCCTCCATTGCCTTGGTCTCTCATGAACAGATGGCCATTATAGTTGCCAAGGCAAACCCTATTACATGCATAAACCATCCCAAGCTATCCCATCTCCCAGCCAGCATATTCCCTCCTGTACCATCCCAATTCTTCCACAAATGTTCAATCTCTCCTTCTACTGATCCCTGCCCTGCTGCCATAAATAAAACAATGTGTCCCCAACCCTGAAAAAAGCCTCACATGGTCCATTCATCCCCATTAGATATTGACCTGCATCCTTTCTTCCTTTCATGGCTAAATACCTAGACAGGCTCATCTACAATTAGTGTTTCACCCTCCTTTCATCTTCCTCTCCTCAAAACTCTCTGCACTCCACATTTTAATGTCATTGCTCAACTGAAATTGTTCTCTGTCAAGTTACCAACAATCTCCTAATTGCTAAATCCAATGGATTTTCCTTAATCCTCATCCTTTTTGACCTCTCTGCAGCCTTTGAGATAATCAATCATGCCCTGTCCCTTGACACTCATTTCTCTCTAGGTTTTGGTGACAATACTTTCTCCTGGTTCCATCCCTACACGGCTCAAAACTAACCTCACTGTCTTTCCCCAAACCCTCCTGTCTCCTTATTTTCTTCTGCTATCCAGGGCATCACCCTCCCCAATCATCCAGGCTCATCACCTATGTGTCACCACTCATCACCTTCCCTCACACTGTCACATCCACCCATACTCAACACCGTGGAAAGACCTATTGATTCTTCTTTCTTAACATCTCTCCCACACATCCCCTTGTCTCCCAATGTTGCCACTTTCTCGGTTCAGCCCCCAAACACCTCACACCTGAGGTATTCTAAGAGCCCACTGGTTGGCCTCACTGTCTCAAGTATCTTTTTGTCCACTCAATCCTCCACCCAGCTGTCAAATTCATCTTCCTAAAGTGCACTTCTGATCACGTCACTGCCTACTTCATACACTCCCTTGGTTCCCATGCTGAGGATCAAATACAGAATCCTATGCTTGGCTCTTAAAGTTCTCCATCATGTGCCTCTCTCCTGCCTCCCCAGTCTTCTTTCACCTCACTCCCCCTCCCACAAGTGATAATCAATGGTACAGGCCTCCTCTTTGTTCCCTGACCAGGACACTCCCCCTCCCAACTCCATGTTTTCTCTGGCTGCTCCTCATGCTCACTCTGGCTTCCCTGAAGTCCCACCTAAAACTCCTCATAAGTCCTCTCCAGTCCTCCTCAGCCTTGGTGCCTTCCATCTTTTGATTAGCTCCAATTTATCCTGGATGTACTGGGTCTGTACAAAGTTGTTTGCATGTTCTCTTGCCATTAGACTTGGAAGTCCTTGAGAACAGGGCTTGTCCTCTGTTTTTCTTTGTATTCTTGGTGCTCAAGACAGGGTCTGGAACATGGTAGGTGCTTAATAAATCCCTACTGACTTGAATAAAGCCTAGGAAAGAGTTCATATTGGACAGCCTCAGCCCCTCTTGGATGCTTTCAGGAAAGTCCCATGCCCCAAAGCTCCAAACAATAACTTCTCAGAGGATCACAGACTTATCACTGGAAGGGAACTGAAAAGCTAGAGTCTCAGCCCCTCTACTATATTATAGAAGACAAAACTGGGGCTCAGAGGTTCAGTTACTTGGCCAGGATCCCACTGCTGAAATGTGTCTAAAATCAAATTCCAAGTCAGGTCTGTCTGCCCCCAAGTCCTTAGCATTTCTTTCCCTATGACACATTGATGCCTCTTGTGATAACAGCCCTCACACACCTGCTTTCCTCTCACTCACCTGGCCAGGAGTTCCTTGGGCCTTTTTGCCCTAGTGTCCCTGGTGCTTCTCCTTGATGAAAAGGGGAGATCAGATCTTCTCTAGGCACTGGAAGCCCTGGGAGTATAGAATAAGGAAGGGATGAGGATAGAGAGAAATATACAATTTAGTCCTAGTTAGAGAAAGAGGACATACAGGCAAGGATGTAAGCACAGGATGGCTCCCAGAATGCCTCAGAGATGTTTTCTATGGTATTGATTGTTAGGATCTTGGGAGAGGGGCAGAGATCATGCAGTCCATTTGGAATCAGAAAATTCCATTCTTTTTCGCCTTTCACAGAAGGATGGATACATTGCATAGCTTCCACTAGAAATTAGAGGCCACTCTTACTGTAGTGGTAAGAAGTCTGAGTGGTGCTTGAGCAGGGATCTATTGTTGTCTAATCAATTTGATCCAGAGTGAATTGGGTTTAAGGCATGGTCTTTGGGAAAGAAATCTAGCCAGTAAACTCCCTATTAACTAGGTAGGTTTTAGCCATCAAAATTTACATTGTTTTGGGCAGACACTGTCAGGTAAGGACATGATAACCCATCTCAGGAGAGGAGAGGATGAGCTGAGTTGCCCCACTGGAACTAGCCAGCTGGATCCCCATTCAGGCAGCCCAGATTACTCACAGGTTGTGGTTTGCCCTTCATTCTTGAAGAGGACCACGACATCAGGGAGATGATGACATGACTTGCACTGAATTGGATTTGAATGCGGGAGGGCGGTGCACCAGCCTCACTTTCTCCTCTAGAGCTGTCTTGTCCAGTGGCCAGATAGAGATCAGGACAACTGCAGGTGGCCCAGGATGCAGTGGGAGACCTCAGCCTTTCTAAGCTGATGTCTTTCCAGAGTTCTCACTTTGAGTGAGGCCACATCCATTCAGTTCATTTAAAAAAAAAATCTGGGGGCAGCTAGGTGGCACAGTGGATAGAGCACGGGTCCTGGATTCAGGAGGACCTGAGTTCAAATCCGGCCTCAGATGCATAACACTTACTAGCTGTGTGACCCTGGGCAAGTCACTTAACCCCATTGCCTAGCCAAAAAAAAAAAAATCAAACTGGGAGGGGAAGATCCTCATGATTGTTGGCCAAAGAGAAACAGTTACTAGTTACATTCGCTCTTTTTTTTTTTTATTTGAAGGGCCATCCCTTGATTCACTTCTTCAACAGCTCTAATCACCGAATGGGCATTGCCTCACATAACCAGAAGGTGATGTAACTTCTGTTTGCCTCAGTTCCATCCACTAAGAAATGGGATAATAATAGTACCAGGGATGTTGTGAGGATCAAATGATATGAATTCTAAAGCGCTTTGCCCAGTCTGGGACACAGAAGAGGTGCGTGGCGATGCTTGGTCCCTTCCCTTCCTTTCCCACCATCTGGGCTGGAATTTGAGGGAATGACTAAGGAAGAACAAGGAGACACCTGCTATACCCGTCAGGATTAGGAGCAAGGAGCTCGAGACTGATGCCTGTTAACAAGAAGACCTTTCTGAAGTCTACACCCATCCCAAGGAGGAAGGGGCTGCCTTGGAAGGCAGAGGGTTCCCTTCACTGTCCACCTTCAAGGAAAAGCTATGCGAACAATTTTCCAAGATTTTGCAGATAAAATTCATGTCCCGTTAGAGGTTAGACTAAATAACGTCTGAGATTAGCTCTACAGCTGAGATTCTATTACATTGGTTTGCATTTTGACCTCAAGCTACCTAAAATAGGAAAGAGACCAAGTAAAGTCCCAGCTTCCTGTCACATAATTCAAAGATGTCAGGAGCCCCTCCCAACACCACTCCTCTTTTTACTCCTCTCTTTTTACTATCAGGAGACGCCCTGTCTTCCAGAGCTAAGGCCCAGCAAGCAGGCTGTGCCCTGAGCTTAGTATAGCAACAATCCTTTGCGCTCACCCCCAGATGAACGCTGCAGCTAACTCACTAAGTCTCTGAGCTCAGGTAAGCACCAGCAGGCCCGAACATGAAGCCCTGCTATGAATAGACTTTTTGTCACTAGGCAACCTTGCCTCACTGTTGCTGTCATGCCTTACTATTCAACTCTTTGTGTAGCCATGACTACATATATATATATCAAGGTTTAGCCTCACTGCCTTGGGTCTCCTCCTAAGGAGACCCCAGCCCATGTGTGTAGTTTCCCTCTTCCAATAGAATAAAGAAGGCTTTTTGCCTATAACCTCTGTGACACTGGTCATTTATTTTCAGAATTTGACAAAGACCTTTCACAGAAAAACCAGGGAGCAGGAGGACCCTGTGGAGAGACCAGCACTTTTGCTTTGTGCATCTGATAAAGGCTCAAACCCTGCACACTAGGGAGGGAATGAAGACATTCCTTGGATGGCAGATTCAGGGCTACCAGAGGACATGGTCCTTACCCAGGGTCAGCAGGTTCTGGGCATTCTCCTCCATGACCTCCTTGTACAGCTCTTTCTGAGAATGGTCCAGGAGGCCCCACTCCTCCTCAGTGAAATCCACAACCACATCCTTGAATGTCACCAACTCCTAAACCATCAAAAGTCACATCATTTAGAACTGAAAGAGCCCCAAATTCATCTAGCCCAACCCTCATCAACTTCAAGGAGGAAACTGAAGCAGAGAAGGGATGGGCCCACAACTCCTATCACCTTTAAGGATGTCAGAGCCAACCCTTGAAACCATAGTCATTAAGAGCCCAATGGAATGTTGAGAAAAGCATTTTATATCTGAAGTTTGAATCATGTTGGAATAATAAAAGCTGGAGAAATGTCTTACTATGAAATACTTTTCCCTATGGAATCAGGGAGAAGGTATGTGTTCTTTCAGTGAGGTGTAAGAGTCTGTGAAGGAGAAGGAGAGGTGATGTGAAATTCCTTCTCATCAGAAGTATTGTAAGTGATATGCTAAGAAAATTCTGTGAAGAGTTTGTCAGAAGCTGGCAAGTGCTGTGTATTCGTGGGGGGTGGGGGTGGGGGTGGGGGAAATTACCCGTCATCACCGAGAAAAGAACAGAGAAAAAGAGATTATCTAGCTGATTTCCTAAAAGGTTGTACTAGACTTATCTAGATGAAAGCATGAAGAGGATTCTTAAAAAATAATAATCACAATCTGGACTGAGCTGAGTGGCCACACTGGCTGATGCTGGTCAGGTCTGGGGGAGGACTGCACTCACCTGGGGTGGAGGTCTCTGGGTCCCGGGGGCCATTCCCTCTGTCTCCAGGCTCCCTGCTTGGGCCAGGCCTTGGTCCTCTGAAGGCTGAGCTGGGAAGGAAGAAGGCTCACTGAGGGACAGAAGTCTTTCCCTTCTCTTCCTAGGCAGCAGACTGGCCCACAGGGATTTATAGAGGGTGAGGTCCTACAGGAGTTACTAAGCCCCTGGCCCTGCCCTCAGGGAATAGAGTCCAAGTCAGGGGTCAGCAGGTAGGGTCAGGCTAGGAAAAGGTTTGAAAATGAAGACTATGTTCCATCCTCACAAATTCCTTCCCTTCTGTTACCCCTCCCTTCCCCCATCCTTCTAGAGATACTCAAAAGGCAGAAGGGGCTTGGGATCCCAGATGGGATGAGACCAGTCAGGGCCTCAATGGCTCCTGACCCAGAGCTCTACCTCCATCCGATGCTATGAGTGAGACATGAAGGTTGGGCAACTGTGACCCAATGGTAGAGGTGGGGATGGCACCCCAGGCCTTTGAGATGTCATGGAGAGCCTTGACAAATAGCAGGGGGCAGGGAGTATCCCAGAGAACCAAGCCTGGTTGGGAAGCCTGCTCCCCGCATAACTGGAGGACACTCACCAAGAGGTCCGATGGGAAAGATAAGGCCAAAGGGAAAGACAGCCAGCAGGCCTGAGACAGTGAGGGGTCCTTGCTCAGACCTACCTGGGACTGGCATGTTCAGAGCTGGCCTCCAAAAGGCAGACAGATCCTGGCTGTGAGGGAGGGCAAAGAAATCTCTGCTCCAAAGGAAGAAAGCAGAGAGATCTCAGCTCCAAGGGAAGAAAGCAGAGAGATCTCAGCTCCAAGCGTTCCTGTTTTGAGCCAGCCTGCTCTGGGGGGCCTTTAAGTCTTTACTAAGATCCCACCATCTACAAGAAGCATGTCTTGATCGACCTTCTCTGATTTCCTGCAGTTTACCTTAGGTATATTTCGTATGCAGGAAACAAGGAAACAAACATTTATTAAGTGTCTATTATGTGCCAGGCACAACGGCTTTACAAATATTATCTCATCTGATCCTAACAAAAACTCTGTCATGTAGGTCCTACTACCACCATTTTACAGTATGGAAAATGGAGACCAGCTCTCCAGGAAGGGAATGAGGCCAGATTTGAGCTCAGGTTTTCCTGAATCCAGGCCCAGAGCTCTATCCACTGTATCTCCTGGCTTCTGACCATGGAAGTATGTATGTGTGTGTGTGTGTGTGTGTGTGTGTGTGTACAGTTATTTGCAAATTGTCTCCTGTTTTCTTTTTCCATTCTTGGAATCCCAAGAACCTATGAGTTGCTTAGTTCATACCAATTCTTAATAAAAGCTTGTTGACTTCTTTAAGTGACTAAATCCATGAGAATGTGAGCTCCTTGAGGGCAGGGGTTGTTTCACCTCAGCTTTGCACCCCAGCACTTAGCACAGTGCTTGGCACACAATCAATACTTGTTGAATTACCATGAGTCCCCAGATCATGGAGATTTCAGCCATTCTCTTATTTTCTGCATTCCAAGATCTGTAATATCAAATGTATTCAAGAAATGAATCTCATTTTGAAGCACGGCTGGGGTCTTCGGAGAATGAGTTGGCTCAGATGTGTAACTGCAATGCGTGATATTCTAAGTAAAATTTTATGATTTTCCTAAACCATTTCATTACTTTTTTTCATCAACTTCTTTCCCGGGCCAACAAGATTTTATGACCTTGCCCAAAGAAAAGGTCTAAAGGCATCTGGTAAGTCTCCAAAGAACTTCTCACTTTAGTAGAATTTATAGTCTTTTGTACTTTCCCAAACAGAAAGTTCTTCTTATTATTCTTTTTAAAGCAAAATAGACCTAACTGCCTACATAAACAGTCTTTAAACACTGGCAGCACAGTCTCTAACAACTTAATTCGTCATTTCAAAACATTTAGGGCAAAAGAAGACTTAATGTCTTAAGGAAACAATTGGATCAGCCTCTAGGAACAATTTTTCAAATTGACAGTATTTCTTATACAATGGTTTCTCAAAAATCACAATAAAAGAAAATTAGAAGTATAATATTATAAATAATGTTACAGATTTAAAACAAATCTTAATGCTTTGATAAAACAGATTTGAAACAAAGTTTATTGCCAATCAAATAACAACAATTCAGTTGAGTGGTTTCTGCATTATCTTACATAAAAAATCACTTTATCCATTTATCAATTTGACACTCTAGACTGATTGTATTCAGATCCCAGCAGAGTCATTTTGATCCAATCATGCTCTTAATTCTTATCCTTATCATTTCTAAACATATTGCCTTAATGTCAAATTTTAAGTGTATTTTGTATGAAGGTATGATCCACCTGTAGAGGGTCAAACATCACAATTATCCTAAGAGGAGCACATATATGATTTTAAATGAGACTGCATTAGAATTTGTTTTAGGGCAAACTCAGCCCCATCAGAACTAGATTTACATTTATAAATGATATCATACAGAATCTCAATTTTCCCAAGGGCCATGTGCTGGCAGAAGATCAAATTATAGGGCCCACTACTTTGGGTTAGTCTATTGCCAAAGTTTTATTGGGGCAGTCCTTCTACTCAGAAGGGGGAAGAATCTCAGGACAGGAAGAAGGAGGGACAGTGGGAGGTGATGAACAGGTGAAGGAGAAGGAGCTCTAAGGGATAACCAGCCTGGTGGGTGATGGCTTAGAATTCAAGCCCTGTGGTGAACTAAGAGAAGGCTAAAGCAGAAGAAGGGTCATTCCCATGGCCATGGCATTGCAGCTGATGGAGACCAGGAATAGGGGCAGAAAGGAGGGCAGGGGCCTGAGTCCCTGGCCCTGACTGTGAATAGAGGAAAAGCATGATCCTGGGGCCTCCGGCCACAGGCAGAGAGGGCCTTTTGGACCCTCCTGGAAAAGGCTTGGCCCACTGAGGCTCCTACAGCCTCTTCTGCTTCCCACAGGGCCCACCTTTCTAGACAAGCTCTGCCTTGGACTCCCCTTCCTAGCAGACCCCCTAACTGAAAGCAGCAGTCTTTTTAGTTGACATAACTATCTCTTAGAAATTCTGTGCTTTCAGGTCTCAGGTGGGTCTGAACCAGGAAGTCAGAGAGGTCAGATGGCTTCCCTGTTCTCTGACTAGCCTTATAACAACAGGATGTAGTCTTTGATGCCTCCTTCATGCCATGCTTCTTGCTTTATCCAGGTCTCACCCAGAAGCCCTGTTCTTCTGACTGGAGAGCGTTCTCAACCAGCCCAACCCTTATCCCCTGCCTGCCGCTTTCTGACCATCTTTATGCTACTGCCTCCTAATCTCTTTCCTCCTTTCACTCTGGGAAACACAATCACATCTTTTGCACTCATATTCCTCCACTGAGGCTTGCATAAAGCGGGTGGATAATGGCTGTCAAAAGTGAATTTTTGAGAAAACATAACCGACTCCATTTGATGCTCTACTGGCTGTTTTTATATCAATGTGCTGAATGTCCCCTTCAGAACCTCCCTTCCCCCAATCACTTTAAAACTCACAGACTCACTCACTGTGCTGTTATTCCATCTTAGAAGGCACAAAGGGCTTAGCAAATGTTGGTTAACTAGCTGACTAATCAAGCAGAGACTGTTTTCTTTGGACTGGCGTAACTGTCCTTCGTACCAGACCTTTCTAACCCTAACCCTAAATTCACGTCCTTTTTCTTTTGCTCTCTCTGTGCCCTAACCTGATCTCACCCAAACTCATTTGTCAGCCTGTCTACAGGACCTCAGGGATCTTATCCAAACTCTGTTTCACGTAGCTCAGGAAAAAGAGATTATCTCTGTCATCTGTGGAACTGGGAGACACACATGTCTATCATCTACTGATGGAGTGTGTCACACTGTTGTGTGACTGGGAACCTGTTTGAGGAAAACTGCTTTTAATGCTATGTCATTTAATTATTAATTTGTAATATTCCCTTCTCAGTTCAAAAGGCCTCCCGGTACATTTTAGCTGAGGAATCTACTCCCACCCCCCAACACATTACATGGGCTAATTAGTGCTATGGCTGCCAAGGACCTGGAAAATTCATGTAACGTGGTGTATGTAGTATCAGATGGTATTGACTTGTAACTTACTATTAATAGCATTTATGTAGCCCTTAAAGGTTTTGTGAAAAGAGGGGTCACTAGTAACTGTGGTGGGAGGAATTTCAACCAAGCAGAGGGTCAAGAAGTCACATAGGAAGATGCTGCAAAAAGAGTTTGGGGTCAGCCAATAGGGGTAGAGAGTAAAGCCCCACCCATGCCCTTGGCTCCCAGGGACTGCAGTCCTCCTGGTGTTGACTTCTTATGGACCGTTTGCTCAGGAAAGCCTCAGCCCTCAAGGATCACTTCAATTTCCACTCTCAGGAGGTTTCTTACACCCAACCTGACCTGACCATTCATTGTTTTAGCTTCACTTGTCACCTCAAACCTTTCAAAAAACCTTCTCCAATTCAGCTTACAACAATCAAGAGCATATCTAATTCGGCTCCAGTTCTTGGATGAAGTGTGTCAATCTATGCCCTGGGGCCCCACTCCCCAGGCCAGTAGTTTTTCAACTAAAGAACCCCTTCTTGCCCACTAAAAAGATCAAAATTAATATTCCCTTAAGTTCCTACCATATTGATATTATAATTTATTGTAGGCTGCATTGATCTTTATAATTGGGTCTCCATTTGACTAAACCACTTTTCTATGTTCTTGAGTTGAGCTCAGGAATTTAGCCTTCCCTCTGAGTTAGTTTACAGTTATAATTGAAGAGAAAAACTGCTATCTATCATACTGTTAGCTCCTGGAAAAATTCCAGGACATTGGTTTGCTGTTTTTGAAGACCTACAAGGTGACGTGGCATATTTCCATAAGATATGTGGTCCATCCCTGCTTGTCCTTGTATAATTAAGTAGGGTCTTATGTGCCGGGGAGTCTGCCATCAATAGCCTCAGGTGCAGATGGGTCCCTTAAAACAATGGAGACAACATTAAAACAATGAACATTCTTTTAATTATCAGAGAGGGATGTGATTCGTCTCACCTGAATGCCAACTCACATTTTTCCAGTAAACCAACTGTAATGTTCCAGGACTGGCAAGACCCTTTCTATTTCATTTGTCAATAAAGAGGGTCCTCTCCTTCTCACTGGGGTTTTTGGCTTTACTGAGGTTGCCAGTTCGACTTACTTTGTTAACACTTATACAAGTCACTGCAAGTAAACTGATTTTGCTTTGATTATTTCCCTAAGTTTCCCTCAGTTTCAAACATAAATCCAGTATTCTCCTTTGCAAGGTAAGCTCCAGGAGCACGAGGAATATTTTAATTTTGTTTCATACTCCCTAGGTATTTGTATCTTCCCCAGCACAGACCTAGAAACAATGAAGCGCTTCATGGATTTCCATTTAAAACAAGAGCTCCAAACCCCATTTACACTCCCTACCACCTGATTCCTCATTCCTCTCCTTCTCATGCCTCCTCTCCCAAAGTTTCAACCTAATTACTTCCAGACCTTCCACTGTGCCTCCTAGAATGTCTAGGCCACAAGCTTCCCTTTATCTAAATTCTATTCCTTTCCCACTCCATATATCAAGAAGCTCTCCCTGAAACCTGGCTTTCCCCTGCTGACAAAGCCTCCCTGGCCACCATCCCCAGTTCTGGATTCGCTTCCACTCATTCTCCTTGGCTTACTGTCAAGGCAGGGGAGTCAGACAACTCCTTGCTTCCTGCGGACACTTGCAGGTCCTCTCTTTTCCTAAAACACTCAATGATAACACGAATCTTTCATATGTGTACAGGAAATGGCATGATATCTTTGGATCTGAATGGAAAAGAAGATAAGTCAGGCAAAACACTGAAAATGACGTGGGACCAACTGAAGGGAGCAAAGCTATTTCTCAGCTTAGCAAATGACAGTTGCGGAGAATGACCATGAGACAGTGCGTGTAAACTGGTCGGTATAGAACAGCAGAAAGTTGGCCTGAGATCAGCAAAATAAAAAGGCTAAAATCACAGAAGAATCTGAAGAAAAAGACTGAAAATGCAATGTAGAAAGACCTTCTAGTGCTGAGGGCAGAGTGTCCTCAGCACAGGGTTTGAGTTCCAGTCTCAGCTGCCAGTTACCCTCATCCTCAAAAGCCCTCATTTGATACATGCATCCGGACTGAGGGTCA